TTTTTAAAGTAAAGGCTGTGAAGATTTGTGCGTCTCAGAATGTTCTTGGTCATTTTGATAGTTTTATTGGTTGCTGGGAAGGGGATATGTGAATATTAAGTATATGTTATCATTTTTTTCTTAGGGAGTGTGTATGATGTGTGTAAGGGTATATAATAGTATGGGTGTATGTATAACTGTGAGCCTCAACACCGCCACAAGCATGTGTCTTGTGTGGGTGAGAAATGTGGGTAGGGCTTGATTTATGGGGTTATATATTAATTCTACCTATGTTGTTAAATTTGTGGTTAGGCCCATCTGGACGAAGTGTTTTGAGGCGCAAAATCCACTTGTCTTCATGGTCCTCTAGAATTTTTTTTATATATATAAGGTGACCAAAAAAAACGGGAACCATTAACAGTCCGATAAAACCAAGAGTGGTGGAAGAAAAATATTTTATTCATAGTAATTGAAACCTTAAAACATGCCATTTAAGAAACAATGATGAAATTTTCATTTTTAAAAAATTACGTCCTGTAGATGGCGTCCTCCTGTACGAATGCATTCTTGAAATCTGCTGTTGAGATTCCTCATTGACTGCTGCAACATCTCAGCTAGGATACTGTGAATTTCATCTGGAATTCTAAATGGCGAAATGTTTACTTGCTCAAGGTCACTGCCTCGTAGTGTTGCCACTTGCTCATGTCTGGCAATGCGTACTTCAAAAATTCCTGTTTTTTGGGGTCACCCTATATATATATATATATATATATATATCAGGTTTTATGGTAATTTAATATATTCACAAGAAAATGGGAATTATTGAACCAATGTTTGTAAAAATGTCATGATATACTTAGCTAAATAAAAACAGTATAAAACGCGCTATCAGAATGAACAGAATAAAATATTCTATATGTACAAGACTCTGTATTAATATTATCTCACGACATTTAACCCTCTTGAAAATCTCAAGACTGGCTTACATTTGGGAAGCCAGGTTTTACTAGATAAACAAACTCAAGCAAACTTTTTTTTATTGATAAGTGAATACAAGTGTGATAACCTAAAGAAGCATTTTTTTATCAACATAGAATATAATAAATCTGAATAAATTATTAGCTTCCATTTTAATATCGACTCCTTGATATTCGTCGGACTTTTCTCTATTGTTTTTGTTAACTTTTGTTCTACACCTTCTTCGTTAACATTATTTGCTGCTTTTTATAGGCATTTAATTTTCTTTAATCGGTATCCCGACATGTAAGGCAATAAAGCCACTAAACACAACGTACCTGTAAGTAGGAGAGTTGATGGCGTAAGTGGAAGGAAAAGGAAAGAGATGTTATTGTTTGGAAAAGCGAAGGAAAGACATGATTTTCTCTTTATTTATAAGAATAGCATAGATTTTTGATTTTGCCATAGGAAACTCTGTAGGAAGAGACAATATCATCAACAATTATTTTTCTCATAATTTTTCTTTTTCCTTTACCTGTATCACTGCTAGTTTTCTTTCGGGCCATGACTATGGACTAATGAAGAGAAAAAATAGGCACAGTACAATAAAATTGGTAAAGACAAGCACAGCACAATACACGTATGTATACAAGACGGCGGTCGACTAAGAAATGATTCCGTTCGGGTTAACTCGGTTTGGCTCGGGTCGGCAATGTGGTTCGAGAACCGAAATTTTGTTCGATAACCGAGGCATTTTAATCTCGAATATTCTGTTCGAAAACCGATTTGTTCGACATGTAAAACCTTTGAGAACGAAAGTTGCACTGTAATACTCGATACGCATTTATTCTCAACAATTTTCAAGTGACCGATAATTTTATCAGCTGAAATATTAGTCAAAACCGTTACTCAAACTCTCCAGT